AAGTTTTGCTTAGTGTATGCTTTAGTTTTGCTTAAAGTATGCTTGAGTTAATCTATATATCATTTTATTTTGTATTATTGTTTTTTAATATTTACAATATTTATAACGTGTTAAGAATATCTCAATTAATATAATTGGCACTAAATTCACTAAACTAGTATATTTAACTTTAACTAGTATATTTACCTAAACATTCATGTTTTGATTGTATATTCATGTACTTAACTAGTATATTTTTAACTTTATATATCCATATTATAGCTAACTATGCACTAATATAGTTGATATATTTACATTTAGTTATCCATATTTATATTAGAAGCGCATGTAGACGTAAATATGTTTTTATATATCTAGTATAAGTAAACTTTATAGTTAACTATATATTAAGCAAAATATATATCACATAGTTGTTTTGTATTGAGAAATAGTAATTATGTTTGTTTAAATAAGTAATTATTTTAACAACATTGATATTTGAGCAACTATGTATTTATAAAATCAGTAAAGTAAATAATATAGTTAGTTACGTTTTTAAATAGTTAGCTATATTCAGAAAATAGACAACTATGTTTAGACCGTTACGGTAACATTGCAATGTAGTTAACTAAGTTATAATTTCAATAGAATATGTAACTATATTCTGAAAATAGTTAATGTAGGGGTAAATATGTTACCTAAATTTTTTTCTCACATGTTACTTTCTAAACTATGTCTCACAAATGCTATATTCTCCTAATTAATCCATTAATTAAAATTAACAAATATAGATAAGAATGAACTAACTAAACATTTTAAATAGAATTTAATGGAAAATTAATTTGTTACTTACCATGTATTAAGATTTTTAAGTTTTTTTGTGTACTTTTTAATAAATTTTTTTTCTTTCTTTTGTATCTATGTGGTGACAATGATAACATAATAAAAATCATCAATTGGATCTACTTTTTTAAGATTTTATTTCATAAACAATCGTTTAAAAAATTATATAAATTTAGAATTGCAGAATATCTAATATTTATGTTTTTTTTTACTTAAAAAAATTAGATATTATGAAGTTTTGGCTTTAAAATAATAGTAAATATTCAAATATTAGAAAATTTATCATTTCAATATCTTATATAACTAAAATGAAAATA